GATTCAATTTAAAAAAAAAAAAAACACCACCAAACAACAAAAAAACCACCCAAAGAACCTACTTGTGAAATAATGCGAGTCAACAGACTGCAGAGGAGTCTTAGTCACATTTTTAAAAATAAGTAATCGAGTGACAGCACTTGGAAACAAAATAATTGCTGTAGTTTTGAAAACAGACTCCTGATGAAAGGACAAAACAAAGCCTTGCATCTGGATTTCTAATGAAAACACTGGTGTATGCCTTTTTTGCAAGGTCTGCTTTAGTCTCAGCTTTCATTTTTGTATGGAGTTACATGTGACAGGTATCTGTCCATACATCTATTCTTTCTGATTTAATTCTGCCCTTTTTTTCCCAAATAAATCAGTTTGCTTCTATATTCTGAGCAAATGCTTATAGTTCTAAAGTTGTATAGCATGCTTCATGTTGCAGAAGTTGTATTATAATTCCCTCACCGTGTGACGTTTGGATCTCTGTAGTAAACTGCTTGTGGTGAGAGGAACACGGGTTGGGTGCTGAGCATTCGCTCCTCCACCTTTGTTTCTCCTAGGTTCAGGTGTCATTCACCCGTGATCCTTGAAGATATGGTGAATGTGTCTCCTGAAGACAGGAGAACCCTTTATTCCAAGGAGGCTTTAAAGCTAAACCAAAAAAAGGAAGGAAAGAGCCATTACATAGCTCTTTTGCTCAGGGAAGGTAACCGAGAGAAGCAATCGTATGTCGTGTTACTTGCTGCTGTTGCAGTGGAGATAGCAGCTGAGGTGGGCCTGCCGGATGAATCTGGACCAGAGGAACTGTTCCTCAGTGTGTGACAATTTGGACGGGAATTTGGCCTGAGAGTAGCCATGTTTACTTGGATTATGAACTTTCTGTTGCCCCAGCCTATTGCTGCATGTTAAGTGATGAGCAAGTGGGGTCTCCTTTTGCTGTAGCAGATATAAGTTTGTATTGGTTTTCTTTTAATATAACAACAAGGGGAAAATCTCCTGTGGGTTGTCAGAGTGTTGCTGATAAATCTGTTGAACATATGAGTTTCTGTATTTAGCTCTTGTCCAAAATAACGATATTCTTGACCTTTCTTTTAAGACACGTCTGTAAGATGTTATGACTTTGGTTTCAGCAGACATTTGGGAGGGGGAAATAAAGCAAAGTAGGTTTTCTTAGTAATTATTTTCTTATGTCACTTTATTGATTTTTCTTTTATTGTTATTATTTTCCCCCTCTCCATTGTAAGCCTTTGTTCACAAAACGTTTTGTCTTTGGAAATTTACATTGGTTTTGAAATGAGGTGGAGCATCAGTGTAATGAGACTGTATCATAATGAAAGTAGGTTTAATTAACCAGTTATTTAAAATAGTAATGACTTCTGGAGTCGTGTTTATACTGCAGCTGCAAGTGATTTTAATCTGAGAGAGCTGCCCTTGGTAGGATCTTTCTGATTAATGTAGAATATTTCTGATTAATAGTTAAGGTCCTCTATGATACGGAAAGGGAAAAACTGGTTTTCTTCCTTCTGTACGTATATTAAAGAAGCAAAAGAAAACCTGTATGATTCTAACCCATCTGAAAAAACTTGTTTCTAAAGAGCCAGAGAGATTGAACCAGCTGATTTTCCACTCTAGGTGAGTGCACTTACAGCGAATGTCAGCATCTTGAAACGAGTGTGTGAAATATCTCATAACACTGTTAGCTTGATGAGGTTAGTTTTAATTATTTATGACAGCTGTTCTTGAAAATATTCTCAAGATTTATGTAGTCTTGGATCAGAGTACAGTATTATCTTTGAAAAAAGTGGGTAAACACAGTTTCATAAATCACGGCTATATTGGTAATTTTGTTCTGAGTAGACAACCTTGATGATGAAATAGCTCAAAGTCTACAATCTAAGGTGTGTAATAGAGGCTACACATAATAGAGCTAAAAAAACACCTGTGTGTAGCATAATGTTAGAAGAAAAAAGGCAATTTTGGGGGGTATTGATTTTATTTTCAATTTCAGTCTCTCATCAGCTTCTGAAAATTGGTGATAATAAAGCATAACAACCACGTTGTAAAAGGAGCTTCTGATAAACTACAGTAGCTTCTTGTTGGCCACTGTCTGTTTGAGCAATAGCTGAATGGCTTATTGATCATATTTCTTCCCCATATGGTTGCACATTTTTTCGGAGGTGAGGTAATTTTGGCTAGATACTTGTTTTGTGGGATTTGGTCATTTAGAATGGGTATCAGGTGTCTTAAGGGCTTAAGTGTAATATCGGTGCGGGGGAAGATGGGGGATTGAAATCATTATGATTATGCTGGTATAACTCAGCCTAATGAGTTCTCTTATTACATATAAAAAGCCTTTTTCCAATAGTTTCATAAGACGTAATTTGAGAGTACCTTAAAAAAAAACCCTGAACAAACCCAAACCCTCCAAAACAAAGAATGCTGTTGTAGAAGAAAAATGGGTTGTTTTGCTGTTACGCTTGTATACTGAAATGGGTTTAATTATACTAACTCAAGCTGTTCTGTGTAAATAAATGATTTGTGACTTCATCACCTCGATCTTGAACGAAATAACAAAAAGCAGTTGCCATGGATGGAAAGGTCCATTCTGTGCTTCTTCATTTTGGCTTCTACTCAGTCTAATGATTTTTGTCATGTATACAACTCGCTTTCGCCATTGTCTAAAGCTTATTTAAATGAGGTATAGGTAGTCGGTAGGACAAGAAAAATGGTCTTGCTTACTGGTTTCAGTGATACTGTCAGTAAAATGGTGATGCAGCAATATTGTGTATTTAAAGCTGTAAGTACAATATAGGAATCCATTCTGCCTAGTAATATACTCGCAAATAGCTGCTATGTGGAATTCTCTGTGAGGAAATTATCCTGTGTCTTTTGTAGATTTTTTATATTGCAAGGAGTCTTGTGACCATTTATTTTTAACTCACTTGAGTGCTTGTTTACCTTTGTGAAGTGACAGTTTTAATGTCATTCTTTGTTAAAGTTTCTTTTGAGGGAAGCAGCAGATGATCTAAGAAAAGCTAACTCATTACTTTTTTTCCCAAAATGCAGTTTCATATTTTTTCACAGAATTTGGATTTTCATTGAGTTGCACAAAAGTAGTTGAGGAAAAACACTGAAGAGTCTTTGGTGACTAATCAGATATAGTCTGCTGAACATACATTGCAAGGAGTCTTGTGACCATTTATTTTTAACTCACTTGAGTGCTTGTTTACCTTTGTGAAGTGACAGTTTTAATGTCATTCTTTGTTAAAGTTTCTTTTGAGGGAAGCAGCAGATGATCTAAGAAAAGCTAACTCATTACTTTTTTTCCCAAAATGCAGTTTCATATTTTTTCACAGAATTTGGATTTTCATTGAGTTGCACAAAAGTAGTTGAGGAAAAACACTGAAGAGTCTTTGGTGACTAATCAGATATAGTCTGCTGAACATACTGATTTTGTCTGAAGTAAAATTAAATTCAGTATTTCTAAGGTGACTTAGAGCAGCAACAAAATTTTGTTTTATAGTTGTTTCTCTGTTTCTAAGCCTAATATGCTTTTTTTAATATCTTGGTTATTGAATCTGGGGAGGCTTACTTCTCTTGCCTGGATGGTGCATATTTTAATTTGAAGGTTTAAACCTTCTCAAATATGATTTCTTAACCAGACTCTGCCAGTTGTATTTTTTTTCCTAGAAGAGAAGGTCATACCATCATACAGAAGTTGATTTTATAGCTTGGGATCTTAATTTCAGAGGGTAAGCCATTTGAGGAACAATTTTAATCTTCTGGGTACCTTGAAGTTTAAAAAGGGCTCACTTTGGAGCCATGAGAGGAAAATACAGAAAGAGCAAGAAATCTAGGAATCTGTATTGTATTCTAAATGCAGAACTAATCGTTAGTGCATCTGAATTATAGAGAATCATCTTGCTGAGTTCAGAAGGGTGTTTTGGCAGGCTGACTGGCAGGGTTGGGTTTGAGCCTTATATTGAATGACTTGCCACAGTTTGGCATGTTGAAATATATTTTATTGGCATTTAATTAGTTTTTCTCCATGTGTCCTGGCAGTAAGAAATATATGAACTATAAACATGCTAATACACTTCTGCACAACTGTATTGACTGTTAATTTTCTGTGGCATAAAATCATCCTCCACATGGGGAGGGGAAAATAAGAATGTGCCATTGTCTGCTGCCTTGATGTGTAAAGACCTGCAAGACAAGCCTAAAGGTTTTTCTAGCTTAAAATTTAAGACCTGTCTTTGACTCTGACTGGAAAAGCAATTAAATGGTCTGTGAGCTAAGTGTGAAAATTGAGTAATGGAGGAAAGAAGGGTTTGTAGTCAGTTTTTTTAATGTTTTACTATTGTTAAAATCTGTTTAATATCAGTGACTAGCATTTTTAAGAGGGCGCCTGTGATCAAACATTCGGCATGAGTATTTGTAAGACTGAGATCTAAATGTTCTTTGGAGGTGCTAGAATGTCATCAAATAAAACCAGAGAAAATTAGACTTGGCAGTCTTTAATTCCTTTTTTTTTTTTTTTAATATGAAAGCTCTTTCTAGGTGGTTGGGGAAGGTTACAGTACAAAGAGCAAAAAATCCCCAGACAGCCCAGTTTAAAAGGTCTTGGAGGTCACCTCTAATGATGAGGCAATGATGTAATTGGTTTGCATTACATTATTCAAGTCATCATCTTTCCTCCACACTAAAGCTTTTAGTTTGTGTGGAGAAATCACCAGTATGAATTGGGCAGTAGGCTTACATTAAGCTGTGAACTCTCATTTCATAAAGTGAAGCAGGATTCCACACCTGGGGTACTTCGGAAGCTGTTTGGCCTTTTCGGAGTTGAAGAAGCTATCTGTGTCTATCGTGGCTTTTTTGATCGAGCTTTTTATCGCTTTTCTTACTGAGCTAACCCAACTGGAGTTTTAGAATAGGGGTAAGAATCTGTCCAAGGGTAATCACAGCTGATTTAGTTTATGTTCCTGACTGGCTTGTTTCTCTTTCAGATCCCTTGCAGTTGGCAGTAAATCAGGCTACAAATTCTTCTCTCTTTCTTCTGTGGACAAATTAGAGCAGATCTATGAATGCAGTGAGTATCTTCTTTTTTTCTTTTATCCCCTCGGTTTAATTTGGGAAGAATAAGACATGTTTCACTTTTTCACATGTTGTTTGAAATTGACATAAGAGGAACCTCTTTTTTTTCTTTTATCCCCTCAGTTGGTTTAATTTGGGAAGAATAAGACATGTTTCACTTTTTCACATGTTGTTTGAAATTGACATAAGAGGAACCTTACCTGTATGATGAAATATCACACAAATACAAAACAATTGATTGCTGGCAGGGTAAAACTATAGATCAGTGTTCTGTACTTAAATTTAGCTGGTATGTTGTGGAATTTGGTAATAGCTATGAGAACTCTGCTTTTCTAATTTTATGTCCAATAGCCAGGTTATATAGCAGCTGGGCATTAAAAAAAAAATTTACTGGTGTGAGAGAGTGTCTTTTGGGTCTTTATACTGGCTATTGGGGCAGGCAACCACTAATGTACCTTTAGCAAATAAGAAAACAAAGCCTTGATTATCTCTCTCTTTATTTTTCTAACAGCAAATATTAGGATTATTTTTAACACGATAGCTGCAGGTTTACTCATCCAAAAGGGTGCATAATCCAAATTCCCATAACTTCTCAGTACTGATCGTAGTTGAGTAGGATATGAGATGAAATGGAGGGAGGCTTGGGGGAGAATTGGTATTCCCTGGTTTGCCAACAGTTCATAGACTTCCCTTTTTTGAGGTGCTAATAAGTAAACTGTGAATGCTATGCATGAGTATCCTTGCTTTCTTGTAAAATCCATGTGAACAGATGGTACCAGTAACTATAATGGCAGCATTTATAGTAAGATCCCAGTGTACCATGCTACACAACAGAGTTGTCTTCAGACTCCATTTCCTAAGTGACCTGACGCTGTGGCATCTTAAGTTTGAAAATGGTGTGTGATTCAGATCACCTATTATCTGTGGTGACAGCCTGATTCTGTATCCAGTCAATGGAGAGAAGTAATTGTGAGGTTCAAATTAGGCACTTGTGGTCAGGTTAAATTGTGTTGCAGCTACATCTGCCAGTTTGAGTCATGGCCTGGTTGTACTGGTTAAGCAATGGCTTGAATTCCATTTTATGCCGTTGAGTTTAGGTACCTGACCTCTGTAGTATGTCAGGCACTTATAGTATCTGGCCTGATATCACCCCAGGAGACTAAGTGAAGATGACTCCTGTTACATGAGACACTGAATAAACATACTGAGAGAGACTGAACTGAACTTTGCAGGACTGTTTCTAGGTAGTCCTTGAAAGAAAAAGTACAGATTGCATAAAGCGCCTTGCTCAAAATCTTGCAGTAAACTGATAAAGCAGCTGGGATTAGAATTTAGACCTGCTGATTCCAGTCTTGTCTTCAAACTGTTCTGGGATGCCTGTATTGGCTTAACCTCTTTGATATTGTAAGTTTTCTTCCATGAGTGTTAAGTCCATAAATACAGAGCACAGAATGTGAGGTAATATTTAGCAGAAAATTTGATGGTTTGACCTGTGTAAGCCAGCCTGTTTTGACCTCTGCTCATAGGGCATGCAATGTCTGCAGCAGACCTAAATATTTGAGATCTTTATTTTTTTGTATGCAGTTAAATAACTTTGTCTTGGGCTTGCAAACCGTGCCTGTTTAAAACTTGATACGGGGGGTGGAGGGCTTCCTATGTATTGGCTACCTCCTTTCTGCAAGAAAAAGTATCTTGAGGCCTCCTGGACACGTGCCTCCTGCCTCCCAGTTTAGTTTAAGTGGGTCTAAAGACTTTGTGTTGTTTTGAGTGAGCACTTTTAAGGAACCCTCCCTCCTGTAAGATTGATCTGCCAGTTCTTGTGTGGGTGTCTAAAGTAAACTACAGAATACGTCCCAGCTGCCTTGTGTTTGAGAGAACGACTGAAAAGAATGGGAGGTTTCTTTGTCTGCTCCCATCACTGACTTGTACTGTGACTCTGTACAAATCGCTGAACTCCCTGCTCAGTTGATCTACCTGTAAAAATAAGTATTAGATTGGAGGGTGCTTTAAGGCTTAATGAATGCTTATAACATGCTTCATGTTCTTGGATTAAAAATGGAATAAAAGCAGGGCTGATCATAATCTAGCTGGTTCTAACCAGCTCTTGTCTGTGATGCTACATGCTTGTGTTTATGAAACTGTAATCTTGTTATGTATTTGCTTGTTCTCCCCTCACTGCTGATACTTAAATCATTTTGCAGTTGTTTTTGTTCTTACTGTATTTTGAATCTGAGTTTCTGGTAATGCTGACTTGTGTAGTGTAAAGGAGAAAATACAAATAGAAAAAAAACTGATTAACAGCATTGCTGTAGGACTTAACTAGTGCTTCTAAACATATGATTAACTCAGGTCAGCTGGATGTAGGATGTGCAGTATAGCCTGGTACTCTACTTGAGTGGTTGCTTGTTAGGAAGTATACAGGACTTGGCAGCTGTGAAGAGACTTTATCATTTCTTCCTGTTAGGGGAAGACAAAGGAACAGAGGTGCATCCTGTATTTTTCAAGTGAATTTAATTAAAAGCCCATCACAAAGCCTTTCCGTAAAGGTAGCTGTCTGTATTATAGTAAGTCTTTTTATGGTGAGACTGAAGGATTCTCCGTACCTTTTAAGCATTTTCCTTGTTGAAAGTTTTTTCTTCTGTCTGTGACTGCTTAGTTCTTGATAGCGCTCTTCCCTGCTGCCTACGCTTCCCATCGGTGCAGCATAGGACAGCACTTTCTCCATCTGAATCTCTGCTGGTTTTCCTCCTCTGAAATACCAGTTCTCCTGCCTGCCTGGGAAAGTAACAAATCCCAGAAGCTGTGTTTTAACACAGTTTCCCCTGAACGGGGGGAAAAAAGCTGTGCTCACCCAGGAGCAGGGAGCAGTCAGACTGTGTTTTTTGGGTCTCTGTGTGCTGTTCTTCCAACTCTTGCAAACAGATGCCATTATTGTGAAGGACTCCAGGCTTAGATGGAAAGCTGATAACCTGTACTATAAAATATTTGAGAATCTTTTATGTTACTAGTGTGGTTCAAGGAACGTGGACTTCTGCATTTGAAATAAATAAGTGCATAAAATTTGAAATTTTCAAAAATGCGCATAAAATAAAAATTTGAAAAAAATCTGTGCATAAACTTATTGAAATGGATTTTTGTATTTCTTTTTCATGTGTGTGGCATCAGGAAAATGGAGAACAATTCCTTGAAAACAAAGTCATTGCTAAAATGCATTATCCCTGTTGTAGAAGTGAGGAAATCGAATTTTCAAAGCCTCTGTGAGCTGTTTTGTCTTCTCTGGAAAAGCACCGTATTAAATAGGAGATTTAGATAAAAGTCAATTATGTTGCATAGAATACTGAAAATGCTTAGTATAAACCTGCTCCTTTTCCATAAGGAGGCTATTTCTCTCAAAAGAATGTAGAGCATTAAATATTTTCTGTTCTTTTTCTTGAAATAACTGCCCAGAAAAAGCACTTTCAAAGCAGACGTCACACAGTGATGACATTGTCATATGCTGAGAATGTTGGCCAGAACTTTTTTCAGGGAATTTCTGTCATTGGTGATGAGAACACTGCCAATTATTTAATGTGTCTCTTGACCAAAACAGAAGCCTTCAGAAATAAGTTTGTTTTTTTTTTTTTACTGGCGGTTTTACAGTTTGGAATGTGTTAAGCATTGAGCTAATCCAGATATTGACTTCTGAAAAGTTTGGTTGTTTCGATGGATCAGGGCCAAAGGCTCAAGTTGCTTGTCTTGATAG